CGCAGGCTCGCAGGCTATTCATTTCCTTTTCTTGCTGGCCAAATAGTCGGCATACACTGATATGGAGGAGCGAGTAAGTGGTGCAATCAGGGAGAGATCGGGTAGCACTCTTTCTAAATTTGGCGGGGGCTAATCATATCTTTTAAGGGTAAAATTAGTGAATTAGTACCTTAAATGATTGCACTGCGTTGTCGTGGTAAATTGATAAGAACAAAATAAACTTGAATACCTTTAGTTACCCTCCACGGTTCGACAGTATTTATGGCTTAGGTATGCAGCTATTTCGACAAAGGTTGTCGGGAAAACGTGCACGCGACAATCCCGAAAGGTTATATGGGATATGATCAATACACTCTTCCTGACGACTGCAATTGTCGAACCTACTACTTTTGTTGCTTTCCATAAGCACTCACAAACATATGTCCATGGCATCTCCTACCATTCTTTCAAGTTTTTTGGAACAACAGGGAACTCAAAACCACCCACAATACCTTTCGGGATTGTCACGTGCATTTTTTTCGACAACCTCTCTCGAAATAGCTGATAAAAACAAACAAACAAACAAACAAAACAAAAACAAAGAAAAGAAGACAGTCCCTTTCTCCGACTCACTTTTCTTTTGAAGGAAGGGGGGCAGATGTACAGACAGCATTTCGCCACAAAGGCCAGTGGGAGCCAGCAAATGACTGGACCAAATAAATCAAATAAAAAATTTAACAGGATATGGAAGAAAAAAGACAATGACAATTACACACAATTCAGCGGACAACCTCGTCCCCATCCATTTTTAAGGGAAAAGCCCTGGGGACGAGGTTGTTCAGCGGACCAAACAGACTGCGAAACACTCAATGGCAGTCTGGATTTCAGTTTGTGCTCGCCTTTGTTCCGCCAAGTCAGCTTTCCTAAGTGTAATTATCAACATCACACTTTCCATTAACGACCTCGGACGACTGAGAATCAGGCTAACTTTCCACAATATTAAACCAGTGCATCGCGCAGCCGGAAGCCCAATGTACCCCTTTTATGGGGTCTCATTTAATCCTTTTTATAAGCAGAGTTTTATTAAAACAAGCAACTACAATACGAAGTAAAATGAAATATTTATTTTTTATTTTTGTCTGACTGGAAGCTTGCAACCTGTTGCCTTCAAATGGAACCGGTACTATCCTCCAATGTCCTCCCGCAAAACCGCCAAGTCACCCACCGCGCTTCCACCGCCGCTTCCTCCCCGTCCTTCCCCACCCCGAAAAAGTTTCCCCTAAGTCCTCTCCCCAGTCTTTCGCCAATCAGTGGATATTCAAGATGGCGGCGTCCATGATCAAAGTTGTTCATCAGGTGAATTTTTGTCGCTTTCTTCGCCCTGCAGTGAGACTTGGCCAATTATATTCTACGGAATCCTCACCATCGGTGGTTGGAAAGCAGGACAAAGCATTGGAGGTGGTGGAAGATGAAGCAAAGGTAGAGAAATGTATCAAAAGGGAGTATACGTTCTGTTTGTGAACATCGATTCAATGTTGTTATTGTAGCCTTCTTGTAAAATTCATCTAAATTTTCAGCCAGCAGGATATTGTTTAGATCATAAGATCACATAGTACGTAAAATCAAGATAATTCTTAAGATACTGAAAAAAAAAAATTGCATGCGTCTTTCTTATTTCCTCCTATGCACATTTCCAGCTGTTAATCCATCAGCAGGCTGTGAATAACGATCTATGTAAAAGTATGTGGTTTGTATTTGGATAACAAGTAGAATAAGTAGAATAATCAGCAGAATAATACATGCTCTTGGCTATTTATTTGCCACTTTTATGACAGCACATCCCAGGCACATTCTACGGGTCGGATTACATATGACTATGGTCTCCTATCCAGAAAAGTGTTAAGGATTGAGGAAAAACAGTTTGGCGTGCTGTACAATGTATTGGTAAAGCACTGGCCAGTACCCCTGGCCTGTAGAATGAGAAGTACATTTTGTCTCTGTCACAGGAGCATTAATTGTCCTATCCTAACTATTTTGATCAAGTTCCTCTTCCAAAACATTCCCTGTAATGTTACTCACTTGAGACAATGATTCTGAAGGCTTTTATTACTGTATAATGTAGGAGGTAATCTACACCACAACTGGTGTTCCAGACTGGATTGTCAAAGAACGCAAAGCCAGAATTTTTGTGCCAGCGAGGACAGCTATGCAGTCTGGTACGTTTAACACAAAGAAATGGCACTTAGAATTTGATACGATGGAAAGATGGGAAAATCCATTGATGGGATGGGCCTCAAAGTAAGTGATTCTGTTTAGTGGTTTGTGCTCTACAGGAACATGTTTGTCATAGTTTAAGTTCTTGCATGGAGATACCCTCAAGAAGCAGAAAGCGTGTTTTAGGCCTGGTTTTGCACACTATTGGTTGCATTAGTGACACAAGAAGTCAAAAGATTGGACACATTTTAAGATTTGAAATTATAATAATTATAAAGTATAGTAAGAAAGCAAATAAAATTGTTTTTAGTTGTGGTATATACTATCTAAGTTATATTTCTGCCATGTAACATCTAAATATCTTATATTTTGTACTTATTATTTACTTTTTTCTTCCTCTATTTCAGTGCAGACCCTGTGTCCAACATCTCACTTACCTTCAGCTCAAAGGAGGCTGCGATAAACTATGCAGAGAAACAAGGTAACTGCATGTTGTTTCCTTCTGATAACATTTTCAAAGATGAAAAGAAAACTTGCATGATAATATTATATTACTCCACAGAGCTTCAAAATCAATATTTTCTATTCCCTGAATTGGTCAACGGTTGCTCTGTTCCCCAAGAGTTATACCAAGATATCCTAAGGTCACTTAACGTAAATGGCCTTGTTCTTGCTGGGATAAAATGGCATGAAAATCACAAATTACCTTTTAGTGCCCACAAAGAAATGGTAGAGTTTAAAAAATACAGAAAGGAACACATTATAGCTAGAATTAATAATATGTAAAATCAATTTTTTTGGTAATTATTTCTTTGTTTTGTTAAAATAATATTTAGGCGAGGGCATGAACCCATTTTTTCCATGCCTATGAGATGTTATTTCTAAGTACCAATGTTCCCTTGAATTTTGTCATGCCTAAATATATAAAATTTCCCCTCTCTCATTAATCCTCAGACTGGATGCGATTTTTACGCTCGGTAGGCATGTTCAACTGAAAATCATGCCCATACCCTTATTCAAAACAAAATGCTATCAAATTTTAGTTTCCAAGCCGTTTTAGGATACTTCAGAAGATATGGGATATAGCTTGAGACGGTGTAATTTTTTTTATATTCTTTTTGGTTTCTGGCCATTTGGCTGCACTTTTCAGCGTAGGTTTCTTTCCCCGACGAGGTAAACTTATGGTTGAATGAACAAGATTTTCAACCTGATAGTTTGTGTTTCCTTGCAAACGAGAAAATTGGTGGGCTGGCGTCATGAAAATCGCGCGCAACTTGAGTTTTACAAGGGGCCCAGTTGCACTAGCCTGCGTCGCAGACGAAATTTGACCTCGTTTAGTAACGTCTGCGAAGCAGTGCCGAGATCCTTGTTTTGGGCCCCCAACGAATTCAACAAATTACCGGAAGTGCGTTTCGAATTTCCTTTCACCCTGATTGGAAAATTGACAATGGCTTTTTTAACAGGCCAATCATGGCGCGTACTCAAATCCTGGTACACAGGTGGGGCCCGGAACAAGGATTTCGGCGTTGTTTCGTAGACGGACTTAACCAGAGTTAAGTTTTGTCCATGGTGCAGACTAAGTTGCACCCAATCATAAAACTCTAGGCAATCACTTTGAGGACATATTAAAGTAGCTCTGTGGTTACACTTACCCCAACCGAGTGGCAAATGAAAACGCACAATCCAATTGAAAGGGGTACTTCGTATCCGCGATGTTCCCGGCCTTTATCAGTGGTGCCAAATATCGTTAAAACTAACACAAACGTAAGTAGTAGCTCGACGCCAAAGGCCTGAGCAACATTAATGTTTTGCGCAGGCGTAGTCATTCCCAGTTCCCCACGTACCTCAGCAGGAGTCAACCCATACAGCAGTGCTGCACCTAAGATCCCTGGGAAAGATCGATGACGAACTGCATGTGAATCATTAATTCTCACTCAGTTTGGCTTGTTTCGATGAAGAGGACGAATGTAACTTACTGGTGTTACTACGAGGTTTTCCAGTGGCTTATTGCTGGTTTTGAACCGTACAAAAATTGCAGACTAAGTTGTTGTAATTCCCCTTGCCCTCAAATGGAAGAAAACGAGTCGAACCTCTCCGCAAAGGCCGCCTTGGCGACAGAGGTCCATAGCCGTTGAAGACAGGGAAAAAGAGTGAAGGATACGAAAAAAGGTGGCCCTTATTAGAGCGTGACCGTCGTCTGTCTATGCTGATGACACTGAAAGCTCAACCTGCCGCATTTTTTATGCGGTATTTTCTCACAAAACTTGTTCCAGGTTGAGTGAAGGAATAAATTCCAAAAATTCAAATAAGACTGTTTAATCTGGCCTGAGAAAACGGCCGACTTTTCCCGACGCCCACCACTAATTTTACTGACGTCAACTGGGGAACGATTGCTGTCAGAATTCCATACCAGTAACCTGTCATTAAATCATTAAGGAGATCTGGGGAGTGCTTCTGAATGGTCTTACCGCAAGGGAAATTTTCTTCAGCTAATCAGAAGCACTATCCAGATCTGGGTAGTGACATGTCGTCAGTATGGAATTTCTGCCCGCGTTCCTCAGCGGGGAAACCAGTGACGGCGATTGAATTTGTCAGCTGTTTTCTCAGGCTGCGGTTTTTGCACAGAAAAATCACTGAATGAAATTTCTAAGTCGGTTTCAGTTTAGAGAGTAGAAACCTCTTTAACCATGGTTTGGTTACCACTACACTAAACTAAATGGCACAGAGACCTATCCGATACGTGACGATACACTTTTAAGATCGGCGCCGCGCATCTTCGCTCCATTACATAAGCACGTTCGTATGTGTGAACAAAGGCAATATCCCGAATTAGTATTCACCAAATCAGTGGATAGCAATTTTCGCGCGTTCTGATTGGCTCCCGTAACTCGAAATATCCTTGAATATTCACTGTTTTGGGACAGGATTCAAAATGGCTTCTCGTTTCAAGACATTTTCGAAAGATGAAATTTTAGCAATAAATGAAGCAGCTGCACCAACAAATACCAAGAAAGAGACAAAATTTGGTTTGTCGGTGTTTACTGGTCGGTAGAAAAAAAAATTCCCTACTGAATTTGCAACAAAATCATAAAAAAATGATCCCCGAAACACCTTCAACTGAAACGTAAACAAACTCTGAACAAAGTGACGTCTTTTGTTTACTTTTTTTAAAATTTTTATCCAACTGATTTGGTAAATACTAAAACAACTATCCCCCCCGGGTCGGTTCATAGCGGTAGTTATATACCTCGACTCTTCGCGTCGCGTTATATCCAGCCACTACTATTCACCTCCCCTTCGGGGGATAGTTGTATATGATTCTTGTACCTGCACAAGAGCTATCCCATATAGTGCGTTTTCATTCACGTGGCCAGCAGCTATGCAGGTTTATTGGAACAACAGAAAACTTTATCATAAGCAGATAACAAAAGAGTTCAACTCCCACTAGCCTGGGACCAGGCTCTGCATTGTGGGAAAAAGGAGAAAAAATCGGAAAAAGGAAGTCTGGGGATACCGCTCTACGCGCTTCGCTCGCCGATATTTTTCCTATTTGACCCTGTTTGTTGCCTTTTTCCCCACTGCGCAGCCTGGTCCCAGGCTAAACTTCCACAGGATTTGTTTGACACACCAACATGGCCGCCGTTTCATTGTTCTGGAACACCAATATGGCCGCCGTGACGTCATGTGAAATGCTCTTTTGCATAGAGATTTAGCCTAACTGATAGCAAAGCAATTTTTATCTTTCTTTTTCTGTCCCCTTTTTTTTTCTATCTTGAAGCAAATTATTGTTTTTCTCATTTATTAGAACAGGTTTGAAAAACTCCTTTATCATAACGACCATAACCACTCAGCGGCGGTTTGGTTTTTAGAAGTCAGTATTTTGGTGAACTTAAAAAGCTTGATGTTTTTATGTATGTAAACAAAAAGCGTAGATTTAAATGTTGTTTTTGTTGTCATAAATTACTTCCGTTTAGTTTTTGCTCTTTTAGTTGTCGATTTGATCACTGAAGAACCTGCCAGCTGTCTATGCAAATCACATTGTAAAATTCCGTAATGACGGTTTGGATTTCTCTTCTTAATTTTGTCTTTATGTTGTTTTTGATTTGAAATCTCCAAACAAGAATATGTTTTTATCTCTTTAACGAAGTTTCAAGAATAAAATTCCTCGCTAAAATGTAAAAGCCAAAGGCTAAAGTGCAATCAGTCAAATGAAGCTCTCCCAAAATATTTTTTTAGCGATTACATGTTGAATGCTCTCGTGCGACACTTCGATTTCTCAGTGCCGGGTTAAAAAGTATGCATATTTCACGACGCTTACAATTTGAATTTGTTTAAATGATCCAGTTTCTTGGAGGGAACTCTCGAAATCCGTGAGATTATACGTTTCGTGAAAACTTTAGATGGGAGATAATAAGATGTTTCCGTCTTTCGTTTTTTCCTAAAATGTAGCTTTGCTAGCTTCCCTCTTGTGTGCTTTTGACCATTAGAGGCAACAGAAAATGTTTTAGGCGTTTAGTTATTCTCTCGAATCTAAATGACGCACCAATTATTCCTCTTATATATCCTAGCTGCGAATATTTCACAATTATCGTCACAATTGCATACACCATATGTTGAAAATGTACTCACCTCCACAGAACTGGGCCGTAGTGTACGCTATCCCCTCCACAACAGTAATTTTTTGTGCAGCAATCAGTGCTATGTTTACGGCGGGGTTCAAAAGTCCTCCGCTATGATGACCTATCACCATCGCTAGGGTGGCGATACTAAGACCCGCAGTAAGCGAAATGCGAAGAACTGTACAAGCACCGTCTTGCCAACTCAACGTTGAACCACACACCAAGAACACAAAGATCGTCGTAGCTGCAAACTCGCCGCTAACGCAAACCCAAAATTCCCGCTTTCGAAGCCGCATGAGCATGTCTGACATTGGCATAATGAAGGATAAAACTCGCTGTTGCGATTCGAGTTAACTCAATACTATTTGTATACAAGCACCTCAAAAAAACTGATCTGTCAAAGCACTTCCTTTTGTTTCCCTTTAAAACGAATATTCAAGTATTAAATTGGTAGTGAAAAATTGCCGCTTAATTTCCATTGGCTTATACCTTTTTGCCTTTGTTATAGTGATGGTCTTTCTTGTCATAATGTTCTATTTATAAGTCACTTTTTACGATTCCTATTGTATTAAAAGCAATTTCCTCTCGGCTTCTTTTATAAATTTGTCGGCTCTGTGCGATGTATGTGATCTTTAAAATAAAGAAATTGCTTAGGATGGAGAAGAAATCACATACAATCGTGTTTTGATCAGTTAATAGAAGTTGACAAATGTCACTGACGTTATTTTGATTTTATGGTTTTGACAATTAAACTTATCAAACGAAACAAAGAAAATGTCATGTATATTTCCATGTTTACGTTGGGTTTCCAACAAGCAAAACCCGATATAAGAAGCTTTACAATAAAAACATGGTTACATTTCCCGC